TCACTATGACGAAACACCTGTTCTTATGTATGAAATGTACTTTATAAAGAACGTTTTGTGTTAATAAAATAAAAAATAAATAAAAAAACCGGACTAGATCGGCAGGAAGTGGGCGGTACTGAAACGACTGTTCTCTTGGGAAAGATTTGGGACCAGTGATCACGTTGTAGGTCTACTCTTCCTTCTGGTCTTTACCTTCATGTCTGTTATTTATTAATAACTAAATATTTTACATACAGGGTGGCTGAAAAGTAACTTGCACCCCCCTTTAACTTTTCTAACTTGATTAAGACAATGGTTATTCAAAGTAATTTTGCGTTGCCATTTTGTTATTAATGGTCCGATTTCTATTTTCTTTATGTTAATTGTTATGTTTCGTCAAGACCTACAAAATGATACCAAACTCGTCTATAGTTGCTATTTGAAAATTTTGAGCTACCCCCTACCCCCACTACCCCTAAGGGCAAAATTTTCAAATCTGACCATAATTATTGTAGCCCTTCATTTCCAAAGAAGTTGCCGCAAACTGATTTCAAATATCTCAAATAGTTAAAAAGTTAAAGAGGGTGCAAGTTAATTTTTTGCCACCCTTGTGGTTAAAGTAGAACCTCTTTAATCCGAACTAATTGGGACCAGGGGTAGTTCGGACTATTGAATAGTTCGGATTACAGAACATATTGTTGTTTTTACATAACAATAGCTAAAACATGGCTAAATTGATCAAAATTATTTTGGTAAAAGTGAACAAATGTTTTATAAAGTAAAATACAGTGTAAATTTAATACAGTAGTAAACATGATGAATAAACAGTAGGCTACTGTAAATTAAATACAGTATACAATAAAGAACTGCTGTACTGTGTATAGAGTACAGCAGTGAGGGGTTCGGATTAGTGGACGTTCGGATTACGGGGGTTCGGATTAAAGAGGTTTTACTGTATTTGGATTTGAAACGTTTTAGGGCGCCATTTTGTTATTAGTGAGCCGATTTTGGTTTTCTTTATGTCAATGTTCATGTTTCGTCAAGACCTGTAAAATGATACCAAACTCGACTATTCTTGTCATTTGAAAATTTTGAGCTACCCCCTACCCCCGCTACCCCTAAGGGCAAAATTTTCAAAATTGGCCATAACTATTGTAGCCCCTCATATCTAAGAAGGTTGCCGCAAACCGATTTCAAATATCTCAAATGGTTGAAAAGTTAAGTGGGGGTGCAAGTTACTTTTCAGCCACCCTGTATGTTGAATTATTATTGTTAATTTTTTGTTTTTGTAAACAGTTCAGTTTTTACATTGTTTTTAATACAACTTTTAATTCAATACAACTACTGATTTTTATAATTTACTTTAACGTGTCTAAATAAAATGCTCTCCTAATTTTGAGTCAAATCCTTTTACATTGAGAGTACACTTTAAAAGTGAGTGTAAAAAGTTAGAGGAACTGACTACATTGAATAAATAATAACATCATACTCAGACAACAATACAATCAGCTGATTAGTTTGTAAACAAGTAGCCTACGTTGACTTTCACCACAGCTGATTCAAAAGGTTTGGGTGTTTAGTGTGAATTTTAAAGATAGTAAAAAGGTGTGCAATTGTTAAGCCATCCTAATGATTGATAATTGATAGAAAAAGACACTTTTGGGGTTATGTAATATTTTATTATTGTTTGAAATACTCTAAAATCGTTTAAAAATAACTTGCAAAGCGGACGGAGAGTGTTGCATTGTTGTGGCAGACTTAGGCCGCATGCCTCGGCATGCACTACATCTAACCTCCAGCGGTCACGTACTACTAAAGCTGCCATATCTCAGTTAATATTCATTTAATCTTAAAGATGTGCACATCTATATATAAAGCCAAAAGTACCCATGAACTTTTGAGAAAACTACAAGTCACACCCCCATAAACCATATACTTAAAATGTTCGTCATGACGAGAACTATTCGCAAAACTATTCATTATTTCTTAAATTGCCCTTTAAGGTCGTAATTCCTTTCTAAAGGGAACTTTTCATATACCTAATTTTAAAAATACCTCAGCTGTACTTATTTGTTTGTTATCCTTTGAATTTATTGCCTTATTAAAATCAGGTGTGATTATTTGTTTTTTTACTGTATTTTGTTTATTTCAGGTTAACTTAACCAATCAATATTTTTATTAATACTTATGATGTCAAACGGGGTGAAGCCCGTGGGTAACAGCTAGTTCTTTTAATTGTCAATCGATTTGTGATAAAATTTTCTCAAAAAGTTATTCTTGTAAATTTTTTGTAATTTCAATAATGATTTTTAGTTATTTAAGAAACAAAATTTAAATGGCCGCCATTTTGTTTTATGAATTTTACAAAATCCATAATTTTTTTGTAGCTTTGTCTAGTTGTCATAAATGTTTTTGCAAAGTTTCAATTTGTATCTATTACCACTTTTTAGAAAACAATTAATAAGAAAAAAAACAAAATGGCGGCTGTGTGAGTAACTAAGGACTTCCGGTCAATTTAAATATGATATTTGGATTTGTTTCTTACCCAGGAACAATAGGTACCCTAAAATAGGCCTATCCAACACAAATTCAGAAACACCCTGTGTATGAATTTGAACAGATGGTGTTTTTGGCTTCTAGGGATATCAAAATTAAAAAGTAAATCGGTCCCGGGTCTATGGTAATAGCTTATTCCCTATATGGTAAATTTGCTAAAAATAACTCTTTTTGTATATATTTAATTTTTTTATATCCTTTACACCCTAGTATGCTAGGTACTAGCTCGGAACTGTTTTAAACATTACTTCAGGCTAGTTCTAGAGGGTTGCTGCTTTATCACATGTATAAAGTCCATTGGTGATTAGAGGGATTTGAATAAATATAACTCTAAAATCATACTTTATGATAATGGCAACACTCGTAAAAAGAAAATAGAGATCAAAATGACCTTGTTTTTCTTTGTCTTAGTTCTTCTTTTCTTTCTTTAGTTTTTCTTGCACACATTCAACATGTTTACGTGTCACCTAGGTTAAGTCAATTAGGATCACTCAATCACAGGCTACTAAGCGCTATGTCATGATCAGTTCCAAACTAAGGAAATCTATTGTGACATAGCGCTTAGCAGACTGATATAAGGGTTAGGCAAAAGTCTGGAACCTCCCAGTTAACTTTTTAACGCGTTGCAGTAGGAAAACCAAACTCTGCACATATTTACAACATAAGAAATTGCACTTTTTCATCAAAGTTACAACTTTGCCCCAGCCCCCAAAATGGGGTATTTTGGGGTCAGCCCCAAGTTTTCAAATGCAAACACCTATCATGTGACCACTCATTTTAAAGGGTTTCTCAAGACAAATAAATATCCCCTATTAACTTTTTAACAGGTTATAGCAGGAAAACTAAACTCAGCATACCTTTATAAAAAAAGAGAATTCACCTTTTGGTCAGTATTAAAATATTAAATTTTTAAAGTTTACTCGGGGTGTCCAGACTTTATCTTGCTTGCTCATATTAAATAATTAAAATGGCTGCCATTTTGATTAGGGGTGCGATATTGACCTCTAGTTTGCGCCATTCAATTTATCTTGATAAACCCTTTAAAATGAGGGGTTACATGATAGGTGTTTACATTTGAAAATTTGGGGCTACCCCCAAAATACCCCATTTTTGGGGCTGGGGCAAAGTTGTAACTTTGATCAAAAAGTGCAATTTCTTATGTTGTAAATATGTGCCAAGTTTGGTTTTCCTACTGCAACGAGTTAAAAAGTTAACTGGGAGGTTCCAGACTTTGGCCTAACCCTGTATAAGAAGCAGCCGATTGTCAGTGCAAGCATAGACTCACCTTCTTCGAGCTATTGATAAATATTTTTCTTTTACTTCTATTTTATTTTTGCAAATATCTCAAAACAATAATGTTGCAGCTTACTGCATATGAATAATGGGTCAAAACAGTTGAATATACAATCAATATTTAGCACACTAGGATTAACAAATTCAATTTTTAAAATGTTCCAAATTTTGTAAAATAGATTATTGCATTAGAACAAATTAAATTATTAACTAAAATTACTGTATTCCCAACTACAGTAAGCAGACTTTTGGATTACCCATGTTCAGACTAGTTGGACTCAATTGTATTATAATATGTACATTAGCACAATAACTGGAGGAAAATCATCGGATTTTGATTCAATTTCGTTCAAATGTGTAAACCTACATTTATTTGAACAAGTTTGCGAAACAGCTTATTTTCTGTCTTAAAAAATGTTCACAGTTTATTTCCAAACCATTTTGTTTTTCGAACCTAAAAAAATCAAACTAAAGTGTAGTGTCATCGTACATCTAATGATTACATGAAAAAAAAACACTTAATTTTAGATTCCCGCGGCAATTTTATGGAGAATAAGTAAACTGTAGTAGTATTGATATATTTTGATCAAATTTGGTAAATTTATTTATTTCATACCAAGCTATTATATTAGAAATTGAAGTCCTGCAGAACCTTTACTATTGTGATGGGGCAACAGCAGTACACACGCAGCAAGTGATCCCTAAACCACTATAAAACTAGTAATCAAGAAATGGCACAGAATAATGTAATTTATTGAAAAAATAAAATATAACTTTTTTAATTCATACAGCTTGTTACATGTAAGAGAACTAAATAGAGGTAGAGAATAGAATATAACTGTTATTAATATAAGATAAATAAGTACAATACACTGGTTTCATGACACTGTATACTTCACACACTCAGCAAGGTCTTCCTACAGTTACTTGTTAGCACTATACTCAAAGGGAAATCAAGTTTTGACTGAATTTTAATGTGACACAAATAAAGTGTGTCATACAAACTTGTCTGGATGACCTTATATTCTGATATTTCCTTTTTCAGGAATTTTATCGCTACTGAAGCATTAAATGTTTTTATTTGCCTAAGTTTATTTGACATTATGTAGTGTAAATTGATATTGTTTTAAAAACTATAGTAGTTTTTTGGGGGGCTTTTGTACCTGTAGAGAAGCCAGTGGAGAGACTAAGTGACGAGAGCTCCAAGAAGGCAGATTCAGACTCTCACCCGGAGAACTGGACCGATAGTGACCCCCCTCCCCCCACTGCGCCACTCTCCAACTGCGCCTCTTCCCCACCCAAGAACTCAGCTGACACTGATCGCAAGGTAACTAATCACATCACATTAAATTACTTACTGGTTGATTGTGTCAGCCTTACAATTAATTAAGGATGGGTCAGTTTTTTTAAGTCTGTCGTTGGTAATGATAAATCAATTATATCATTTTACAAATACCCCCGCCGCAGCAAACCTGCAGACTAAGCGAATTTCAACTTGTCTGATTATATTTCTACTAAAATATTTCCATAAATAAGACATAGGTTATTTATTCCCTATTTAAATAACATTAGATTTAACGAGTGCTTAGGTTTGCTGCTACGGGGAAGGTAAAAAGTGTTTTTTGACCATACGTCAATAGTATAGGATGAAATAAATAAATTTGCATAATGTTATCAATATATATCCATAAACAAGTAAAGTACAACAATTTTCATTTTCTCCATATAAGGGGAATTTTAAATTACACTATTCTTGAATTTTCTCCGTGACAGTTACAACAGCGCTTCAATATACTAAATTATTTCTTTTTTTAAGCTCTACATAACGGTTTAGAAAGAAAGAAATTGAATTTTTTTTTGTTTTTAGGGTCAAAAATGGGAAAAACCCATTTTTACCCCATAAAACCCCCCATAAACCCCTGTTCCCACGGTCCGATTATGCTGGATCGTGAACTCGTTCGAATAAATGTAGGTTTACACGTTTGTACCAAATTTCATCAAAATCGGATCATTTTTGCTCGAGTTATCGCGCTAACGGACACACATATATATAATATATATATATGAATTTGAACGGATGGTGTTTTTGGCCTCTAGCGACCTCAAAACGAAAAAAAAATCGGTCCCGCGTCCAGGTCTTACCATGAGTACTACGGTAATAGCTTATTCCCTATATGGGAAATTCGCTAAAATGTACAAATTATTTGTTTTAAAAAAATTAATGAGGATTTTATGAGACACAAGCAAAAGTAATTATATCATAATCATTATTACTGTAACTATTAAAATATGTTGTACATTTCCAGGAAAATATTGAAAGGGAGCGCAAAAACAGATTGTTTGCACGAGATCGAAACTCGTCATCATCTGTTGGGAAATCATCGAAGAAGTCGGAAAAGACAAGTGGAGCTGTTTTGAGTCCAAGTCAAATCCAGCCTGACTCAAATATTGCTGAGGTAACCTATTTAGAAACATACGAACAGCTTATACCCTTGCTTTAATTAATTTACCTATACTTATAATTTTTTCTTGCTGAAATGACGTGAAAACCTATCATCTATTTCTATTTATTTATAAGGAGAGTGTGTGTGGGTATGTACCTCTCCATGAGCACTCACTGTCACTCACTCATGGTTGTAGTAGTAGATTGCTACTGGGTTGCACTCCTAAGTAAGACTATTTCTACTTCGATAATTACCTTGGGCTTTGCCCCGCGGGCTTTCAAAGATCTGTGAGGTGAGTTTTTTCCAAAATGAAACATTGATTTGTTTTTGTGGTATCAATGACGATACTCACAATGTTTACATTCATGTTGACAAACTGGATAATGCATTTATTTCACAGTTCCACATAGCTGATTTGGACATTAATTATGAGATGGAGTCAATGTTTTGGAAATAAGTAAGATTCAATAACCCATGCTGTATCAACCAAAGCTTTGCTCCAGAGTTTTCAAAGTTAAGCTCATTAAATTATTTTATCGAACGGTTCTCATTGAAACTGTGAGATAAAACATGATTATGTATATGTAAATAAAATTAACCGTATATGTATATAATATCCTACCTGTATGAAAATCACATGTTGTAAATTGTAACTAAATCACCTTTAAGAATCACCAATATTCATTAATTATATTCAACAAATAACCATGAAAAATAATTATATGAAAAATATTTAAATATAATTAGTAATAAAATTAGGGGCTAATAAGAAAACTGTATCCAACAATAACATATTACAATGAAATTGAAAAGTACCTAGGTCATAAATATTACCTGAATACTCTCTAGATGTAATTACCAGGTGTTATTGGTATTACATTGTTGAAGTAAAGGATGTGGGAGCCAAGTCTCCAGTGATTTAACCAGTATTATTTAAAATTAAAAGTATAACAAAATAAAATAATCAAGAAGAATCAAATATTTATACAAAATAAACCTGAAGAAAGAAGATTATTCCATAAGAAAACTGGTAATATCTTATGTAAACATTTAAAACCATAATAGTTCCAACAATCACCTCAGTGGCGTAGCAGATATTTTTGGGCCCCCCTCCCCCATGAGTTATTTTTAGACCACCGATACAACATAGTCAAACACCCTCCCCCTGCGTTTTTTGGACCACCGATACAATGATCAAACAGTTGTTTTATCATAAATTGAGTAGTAAATAAATTATGGGTAATGTTTCATAAAATGAAGTGTTAGGCAAGTTATTTCAGTCATGGTTTGGTGGTAAAGTTACATCACTACATCATTATATATATCAATATCAGTGGTTGTTGTAGGCCTAAATAAATGTTTTAAAAATAAAATCAAAATACCTTATCTTTATCCGTATTAGAATGTTTTATACAGGGTGTTTCCGAGTTGTCTGGCCTTTTTTTTGGACTTGTTCCCTGGGCTAAGACAAACATAAAATACCATATAAGTACGGGTCTAAAGTGCCTAGATTTCTGTCTCTCGGTCTGTTTGGGATTTTTAAAAATTATTTTATATCTTGAGCATTTTTCAAGATGGAAATTTCAAAATTGGTATAAATGTGTATTTTAGTAGGTAAAAAGAGCTTACAAAGTTTCGTTCCAATATCTCAAGCCGTTTTAATATAGCGGCCAATTAAAATCTGTAATGCCAAATTTCATGAAAACCGTAAATATTAAGAAAATTGTTTTTCAGATCAAAAAGATAAGGAATTAAAATCCAAAGCAAATGAGACCTTGTTTGTTAAAATCGGATGACAAACAAGGTCTCATTTGCTTTGGATTTAAATGCTCTATCTTTTTTATCTGAAACAAAATTTTCTTAATATTTACGGTTTTCATAAAATTTGGCATTAAAGATTTTAAATGGCCACCATATTGAAACGGCTTGAGATATTGGAGCGAAACTTTGGACTGGGACGGGTGGCGTCGTCCTGTAATCCAGAGGTCACAAATTGTGGATATTTATAGGTATGCACTGTGGATGCGATGCTCCCTGGTGTGGATTAACGTCTGCACGAGTGAGTACTCGACTATCCGCAGTACTAGGGGTGTGCAATGCATCGAAAATGCATTGAAATTTCGATTCGATTCAATTCAATGCATAGAATCGCGATTCGATCGATTTGGCCTCGATGCATCGAAAAAGACCGATGCATCGATTAAGTCCCGATGCAACGATTACGTCCCGATGCATATTTAAAACTAATTTAAAACCAAAATGAGTTTTAGATAGGGAAGTGTCAATTATTGCTACCACCGATACTCGGACATTGCCGATAACAGGAATATCGGTATCAAGAATCGATTGCCATACGTCGATTCCGCCGATACCGACACCCGACAGGGATGGATAGATATTTTATTTTAACATTTATTTATTTGATATCTATTAGTTTTGTAATCACGCTAACAACTTTAGTAACCAACTTAGCACACTATTTAGTTCAAAACAGCTAAAGTTTAGCTCCAGCTGTTCTCTCTGCAGGCAGATGATATTTCACAACACAATACAATCTACATTTCAAGATGTCAGACAGTCAGAATTCAATCCCAGACAACCGGCGCGCGAGTGTCCTCAACACGAAATTATACTGAAAAATGTCTTTATCAATAAGTCAGACCTTTAAATGTATTATTTTTATTTTTAGAACAAAATAATTAAATAAATAACCTAAACTTGTCTAAATGTTCAGTTTCATCCCTGCATTACGCATCATTAGAAAAATTTGATTCAATTACAACATCGTCGAAGTCAGAGGGTTAGGCTTGCACTTGCCTATTGCACCAAAAAGTAGATCCATATTATATCTGATCTGTACTATCTACCTAGTTTAAGAGTTTAAGTGAAGTTTTAAGTGCTACTATAACATAAGTATTGATTGAAAAACACCATATGCACCATGTCCATGTCGATTTTGTAATATTATAATGAATGGTAAATGTTGACTATCTAAGATAAATCAAAGTATGTAACAAGAGTTCTCATTGGTCGAGAGGCCACGCTGCACTGTCATGTCAGCCAATCGACGTTCGTGTTTCAATGGAGCAAGTGACGATTGCTTTGATTTCGTTATTTGTGTGTGAGTCTATTATTGTGGGAAGGATTTAGCCCTTTCAGACCCGGGAATCTTAGTCATCTCGACCGCTTTAAGTCCTGAGCAAATTTTGAGTAAATGTTGGTTTTTAATCTAGATTTAAAGTACTAAAATTATTGATTAGGTTTGTTTTAAAGACAAAACCTTCATAACACCATATTAACCATTTCAGTTTCAGAATAATTAGCATTATATACGTTTAAAAACACAAATAAAACAGTCATTAACCTTAACAGTTGCCTCTTTCTCCTATCTTACCGTGACATTGCAACAAAACAATCAGTGTTACCATAAGACATGAAGGCAGACTGCAAAACAAAAATTCCCAGCTGATCTCCATAACCTACACAATCGATGTGTACAGGCATTGAATATATACCCTATAAGAAAGACACACGCCATGTTAAAAATTCAGACCAGTTCGACAGGTCAAAACGCTAGTTCTCGCCTTCGACGCGAGACAGCGCTAATAGTTCTTTCAATGTCTAGTGCCGGGTGCGGCAACGTGCGTGCGTGCGAGAGCGGGGCTATAGCCCCGGTGCGAGAGGCTTGTCACGTGACACCAACCCTTAACGGGATTTCGACTCGGCACTCGGCAGCCCCCTGCCTCAGCTAGGTGTCCGGTGGTCGAGTCGAGATGCTTCTTCCTTGCCTAATACATATAGAACCACAGTGTCGGATGTTGAGACGTATGCTCACTGGATGTGTAGGCTATACTGTCTTATAAGCATTTTAATTTAATTGCTTTCTATTCCAATTTCATTTTTACGAATTTTCGCAGGTTTGCTGTTAATCACACTTTGAAATTTTGATTAAATTAAAACAAGATCTGTCAACTAAAGATTTTGATTTTACTGTTAATTATAAGAATAAGAATAATGTTTATTTTCCCAAATCGTTACAAATAGATACAAGAAAACAAAATTACAGTGTTTATAAATTCATAAAGTAATTTCATAAAATATTTCAAAGTCTTTATTGTAATATTCTAATTCGTTTCGTTTTTTATTGATGTTGGAACCAGTGAATTGAATTTTGTTGAAGCAAATCTGCATTATCACTTTCCAGCTTCCACATTTATGGACGTAAGCTGGTTTTACTTTAAAGAAGGCCTCGTCTACATTTATTATTTTGGCATTTGAAATTTGCTCAGTATGCAGGTCTGCTGCAACAGAGTATTTTTTCTTTTTAATACACAACAATCTTAAAACCATAATAGGCCTAATGTCAATAATCCAAAATACATTTATATTAATTGCAGGGGGGCATGGATCAAATACAATTTATTTAACAAACAACCACATTGATTGGTAAAATAGCGTTTAATGTATATACAACTAGTAACTATACAACATTCAAGCAAAATTTTACAGGAATCCACAAATATAACAAACTAAACTGATTATAATTAGCTAAACCAATTTGCAACTAAACTCGAACATTATCATTCAAAAACAACAAACTTTACAATATAAAAGTACAATAATAAACACATTAATACACATACATTAATACATTTTTACATTAATAAAATATAAATAAAATAACAAAAATATAATAAAAAGACGATGTATACTATAACAAATTGAAAGAAATTTAACTTAGCTTTTATCAATCAAAAAGGCAATGAAAAAAAAACATTCAGCAAATCTAATAATAATACTAAATACAGTAGGTTTTATAATAGAAAATGGTAACAATATAATAAAAACAAGTCAAGGTATGAAATTGGTTATACAGAATTTTTGGCATCAAATATAATCATTATTCCGAAAACATAAAAACAACCTTCACTTCTAACCTTAAAAATTCGTTTTTAAATACGTGCGTTGCATAAAAACAATTGTGTAGGTTTTCAACATTTCAAGAGTCCTTG